ACAGGGTGCCCAGAGAAGCTGTGGCTGCCCCATCCCTGGCAGTGTTCAAGGCCAGGTTGGACACTTCACCCTGACAAAGACAGCCCTGTGCAGCAGGTTGTGCCTGGCTAATGCTAATAGCTGGCTGTGCTGTCTCTGTGCATGTGTGTGACAGGCATGTGGAAGACAAATCAACAGTGTTTGGCACAACACTCAACTACGTAGCCCTGAGGATCCTGGGGCTCGGACCAGATGACCCTGATGTTGTGCGGGCCCGTGTCAACCTGCACAGCAAAGGTCAGCTCCAGTGTGCCCAGCACTGCTGGTGAGAGAGGTCTGGCTGGACCTGAGGGCTCTGTGGAACACGGGGTGCTTCCAGGTAGTGGAGGAACTGTTGCCCTTGATGGCACCTGTATTTTCAGCTAACCTGGGCAGAAGTGGAGCCTGTGACGGGGAAGCAAGCAGGGAGCTGGCATGGTTGCATTAACCCTAAAAGCTGGTACTTCTCTCTGCAGGAGGTGCTGTGGGAATCCCTTCCTGGGGGAAGTTTTGGCTGGCTGTCTTGAACGTTTACAGCTGGGAGGGAATGAACACGCTTCTTCCAGAGATGTGGTATGTGCCCCCTTCAGTGTGGAGATAGGGGGTGTTGTCAGTCCTGCCACCAGCCTCGACCCACAGCTATCCCAGGCACTGGTGTTTGCTAGGATAACTCCAGATATGGCCTGCAAGACAAGCGGCAAGGCCAGCCAGTGGGTGGACAGGACTGAACACTGCACCAAGGGAGATGCCAGAGCTTTTCCTATGGCGTCCCCATTACATCTGTGTGCTCCGTGCCTGCCACCAGTAGCTTCTGCTCTTGTGGCCAGCCACAACTGGGTCCTAGCAGGACGGGACAGCCACATGTAAGGCTGCCAGCTCTAGCCCTCAATCATACCCTTCCTGATTACTCAGAGGGCCTCTGGGTGTCAGACAGGGCAAGTATATGACATTTTCCCTATGGGAAAGCAGAGGCTGCACAGTACCAAGGGCTGCCGGTGCTCTGTCTGCCTTCAAATTCATGTGGGGAAGAGAAGAGAGCCCTGAACTGTCTCTCTGAGCTTGGAACCATCCCTGTCCTTTATGAACTGGGCTAGGAGCAGTGCCTGCTTGCCCTAGTAGGAGGGAGCAGCCCTGGTGGGGAGGATCTGAGCAGGGCCAGGCGGTGTGGATATTCCCTTCTTTTCTCCAGCAGCCCTACCAGGAGGCCTGGAACAAGGGATGGGGAAAGGCTCGCCAGGCTCCATGCATCCCCCTGCCAGCACATTGTCTCCATGCTGCCATTGGCCCTCCTTGTTCCTCACAGTAGCACCTTCTCTGTTGCAAACAGGCTGCTTCCTACGTGGTTCCCAGCCCACCCGTCCCGGCTCTGGTGCCACTGCCGCCAGGTGTACCTCCCCATGAGCTACTGTTATGCCAAACGTCTGTCAGCAGAAGAGGACGAGCTCATACGGAGCTTGCGGCAGGTCAGGAGCTCCCCAGCGAGGTTACGTGGCTCCCTGTTCCTCTGGCTTGTGCGGTGACAGCTCCCATACCCACACTGTCCCTATGTGCAGGCAGCAGAGCCAAATTCCAGCAGTAAGCTGCCTCTGGGTGCTTGCTCCAAGGCTGATGCCCTTTGTTGTCCTGTGGCAGGAGGTGTACGGGCAGGTGTGTCCGTGCGGGACTACGCCAGCATCGACTGGCCAGCCCAGAGAAACAACGTGGCGGCCTGTGATGTGTACACCCCACACAGCTGGCTGCTGGGGGTCGCCTATGGTGAGTGGGGTGTTGGCGGGGGCAGGAGGGCTGAGTTACCGGCTGGGTTTAAACCATAACACCGTGTGAGCTGGTGGTGATGGGACTGAAGCTGCCTTGGACCATGAGGGCTCTTTAGGGTCTACTGCAAGCTATCCCTGGAGCTGGGACAGAGACACGGATTGTGTGATCCATGGGCTTGTCCCTCCCCAAGAGCAGCAGGGCCTTGTATCCAGGTCCTTGAGCCACTCTGGGGCAGAGCAGTTCCCATGCTTTCTGTCACTGGTCATCAGGTGAATAGTGGTGCAGCCTGCCACAGCCTGGCCACATGGGCTGAGTCTTTCATTGCATGTCACTTTCTTCTCCTGTAGCCATCATGAACGTGTATGAAGCGCACCACAGCACTCACCTGCGGCAGCGAGCTGTCACAGAGCTGTATGACCACATCAAGGCTGATGACAGATTCACCAAGTGCATCAGCATCGGGCCGGTAGGACACTTGCTGCTGAGCCTTTAAAGATCTTGCGTTTTGCTTTTCAGGGACCAGCTTGTGACATCCCCACAGCTCTTTGCAACTGTGGCATGTAACCATAATCACCAGATCCCTCTCTGGGTGCTGGAGAGGGACTCTTCATCAGGGATTGTGGCAATAGGACAAGGGGTGATGGGTTTAAACTGAAAGAGGGGAAGTTCAGGTTAGATATAAGGAAGAAGTCCTTTACTGTGAGGGTGCTGAGGCGCTGGCACAGGGTGCCCAGAGAAGCTGTGGCTGCCCCATCCCTGGCAGTCAGTGTTCAAGGCCAGGTTGGACACAGGGGCTTGGAGCAACCTGCCCTAGTGGAAGGTGTCCCTGCCCATGGTAGGGGTTTGAGACTGGATGAGCTTTAAGGTCCCTTCCAGCACAAATCAGTTTGGGATTCTGTGATCTTGCTCACACACAACTCCTGCTGTTCCTATTGCTCAAGAGCTTAACATTAACAGGGCATGGGGACAGCTGTGGCCCTGGTGAGGGATGCCTCTCCTTGTGGTCCAGGGAAATGATCTGAGGAGAAGCTCTGGAGTAGTCTTGTGGCACCTACCTCACTATCTCAGCCACAGATGGAGCAGCTGGGATCAAGCCTGGGAAAACCTCTACATGGCTTTGTGCTGGGTGGGAGGGATATATGTCTCTGTTGCTGGAAGAAGCTGTATCCAGAGCAGTGGCAGTGCTGCTCTCAACAGATTTCAAAGACGATCAACATGCTCGTTCGCTGGTTCGTGGATGGGAAGAACTCCTCAGCTTTCCAAGAACATGTTTCCAGGATCCCTGACTATCTCTGGTAAGGGCTGACTGGCTTACCTGGCCCAGCTTTGGGCTCTGGTCCCTGGAGAACAGGCACACCATGGCTCCCAGCCTGCTTCCTGGTGCTCTTGCTGTGCCTGTGCTGCAGCGCTGTGCTCTCTCCTCCTACAGGCTGGGCCTCGATGGCATGAAAATGCAGGTGAAGTGCTCTAGGAGTTCAGCTGTCACTCAGAGGGACCCTGTCATGCTGGGACAGCCCATGGAATAATGGGATAGCTTACTCACCCTGTGCCTGAGCTCCTGCTGTCTTGCCTTTGGTGCCTGGTGGCCTTGTCTGTCTCACTGCCACCTCCCCTGGCTGTGCTAAAAGTGAACAGTGTCCTGCTAATTTGCCTCTGTGTGGCTGTGAGCTGAGGGAGCAGCTCGAGGCCCCCATCCCCTTCATCCCCACAGGTCCTGGGAGAAGGGAGGGTGGAAGACAGGCCCCTAATACTGCATGAGGACTGAGTTGTGCTCTCCCATGGCTGTTATGTCCCTGTGCCACCTCTCCTGTCTTGGCTGTGCACAGAGCAGGCTGAAGCAGCTGTCTCATTTCCTATTCCCTTGCTGTCCCTGAGCTGCTGCATCTGTCCTCTATGCCAGCACATCAGCTGTGACACTGGGTGGAGGGAGCTGGGGAGTTAATGCAGGAGGGATGTGCTGTCCCATAGACCCACAGCTGGGTCAGGCTGTTGTCAGGACCTTCCCCTCACCATCTGCTTTCTCTTTTCCAGGGCACAAATGGATCCCAGCTCTGGGACACTGCCTTTGCCATCCAAGCCTTCTTGGAGGTAATGCTTTTTGGAGAGTGTGATGTGGTTGCTGTGGTAAGCTCCATAGCTGGTCATGCAAACATCTTAGTGATGCCAGCAATAGTTGTTGGGTCAGTTCTCATTGTAGAGGTTTTAATCGGAACAGTAAACGAAGTATGAATGCAAATCTACAGAAAGGGCTACATGAAGGGCCAGACGTTAATGGCACCTAGATTAGCAGGTCAGCAAGGTCTCAGCACATCTTTGTCTTGAGGGACTCTTTTGGTGGCCACAACTCCTTGCTGTCTGCTGACTGTGAACCTCTGTTTCCAGGCAGAAGCCCAGGAGATGTCTGAATTCACGTCCTGCCTCCAAAATGCCCATGAATTCCTCCGGTTCACCCAGGTGAGCAGAGCCGGTTGGTGTCTCTCACACACTGTGCAGACTTGGCTGCTTCTCAGAGTCCTGCTGGATGTGTCTGTTGCCTTCTGAAAAGCTCTTCTGAAGGGCTGGACTAGCCAAGTCCTAGAACAGCCTCTTGCTTTTGCTCCCTGTTGCTGGGACAGGGCCTTGGCCAGGCCCAGGGATGTTTGGGTTGGCTGCCTGGGCTAAGACAGGCTGGAAAACTGAGAGCTTGGGCTTATTCACCCTTCGTCCTGTCTGGTGCTCACACATTTGAGGCACCCTTCTAGGACTCATGACTGTGTGAGCTCAGCTCCTGCTGCCAGGCCAGTAGCTCAAGGTGGGGGTCACCATCACCAGCAGCTTGGTGCAGATGCAGTCATAGGTCTTGCTCATGGTGCTGCCAATGGGAGCATTGAAAGCACATGGCTCCTGGACAGGAAAGCACCCAAAAAGTGCAGCAACACTTCCCTCAGCCTGCCCTCACTTGTTCCTTGTCTTCTGCAGATCCCAGAGAACCCACCCGACTACCAGAAATACTATCGCCACATGAACAAGGTATGATGGAACTGGTCTCTGAAGGACACACAAATGGGACAGGGATTTGGGCAGAGGGGATGGGAATGAGGGGCAGCACCTCCTCCCTTACAAGAACAGAACAGGTCAGAGGAAGGTGCTGCAGCCCTCCTGACCCCTTTTCAGGGTGGCTTCCCCTTCAGCACCCGAGACTGTGGCTGGATCGTGGCAGACTGCACAGCAGAGGGGCTGAAGTCAGTAATGCTTCTGCAGAAGAAGTGCCCCTTCATAGCCAAGCTTGTCCCCCCCGAACGCCTCTTTGATGCTGTGAATGTGGTAAGTGCTGCAAAAATTAGGGCCAAGGGAAACGTGGGCAGCAGCTAAACCGAGCTAAAAGAAGAGAATTCAAGGCGTGATGAGTTGCTAGATCTGGTATTACTAAGCCTGTATAAGGCCTGTGACCTGGTGTGGCAACACCATTACTTACTGTGATGCAGAGCTACATATACAACATAATGTAATGTCATGGTCCAGTCTGTCAATGTCAGATGCCAATGTAGTTTGGGACCTGGATTGTCTGCCCACCGCATGGACTTGCAGGTCTGACTTTGTCCTCACATCTGGTTTGGGACCAGACTGGGGTGGTGGCACTGCCTGTGAGCCAGCCCCAACCTTCGTCTCTGCTTATCTGGGCAGTTGCTGAGCATGAGGAACTCGGATGGAGGCTTTGCCACATACGAAACCAAGCGAGGAGGCCTTTTTCCCTCAGAGGTGTTTGGTAAGGGGAGCTCCATCATCCTGTGCACTGTGAATGGACACAGTGGACTGGCCTCGCTGTGCCCAGTGGGTGCCTGGCTTTGCCCCGGGATCTCTATGTGATCGTGTGCGTAACTGACATCCTTCACCTTCAGGTGACATCATGATTGACTACACCTATGTGGAGTGCACATCCGCTGTCATGCAGGCACTGAAACACTTCCATGATGAGTTCCCTGAGCACAGAGCTCCAGAGATCAGGTGGGGCACTGGGATGAAAGCTGGGTAAGGGAGAAGACAGGCTGCAGTGTCCCATGCTGCCTGCAATGGCCTCTGTTGGCACAGCCCCTGCTGAGCCTTGTCAGGGGTCTTGCCTGGATCTCTGCACTGGCATGGAGCAGCCCCTGGGGTGGCCCTTGGTGTCTGCACAGCTGGGATGCTGGTGACTTCTCCAAGCCAGAGCCACCCACAAGCAACCTCTTAAGGCTGTTTGGGATCAGGCTGGGGGAAATCAGTAGAGATCTGCCTGCCTCTTGGCTTAGCACCTACATTGATCTTGCAGCCAGCTGTAGGCTGTCCCCCCTGCTTGCCTGCTGGCATGAGCCAGAGAAGCACCCAACTGGTGCTCGATTTGACTCTGAGGTCCTGAACTGCATGCTCTTGCCTCTTGAGCCCTATAACAACAAGACCCATCAAAGCCTTAGAGGAACTGATGGATGCCCCTGATGAAGCAACTGCTTCTGAAATGGATGTCTTTTTCCTGACCAGAGAGACTCTGCAGAAGGGCCTGGACTTCTGTCGCAAGAAGCAGCGAGCTGATGGGTCATGGGAAGGGTAAGCAGTGTTCCTGGTGCTGCCCCAGTGGGAGAGGGACCAAGAAGGCAAGCATTCTGGCTGGCAGGATCTGTGGGAGGGGCAAATGGAGCCAAGTAGGTACCTCGTGCACTGCACAAGATGCAGACAACCCCTGAGGACAAGGGTGTCTCCACCTTCTCTGGTCCTAGAGTGTCTGATGAGGACTGAGTGAGCTGGGAGCAGGGAATGGTGGGACTGGGCATGGTTGTGTCACAGGGGAAGGCTCTGTGCCTGGCTCTGACTGCTGTGAACACCCTGACCCGAGGTGCTGCACCCCTGACAGTGCCGCTCTCCCTTTCCTCCTAGGAGCTGGGGAGTTTGTTTCACCTACGGCACCTGGTTTGGGCTGGAGGCATTTGCCAGTATGCAGCACACATACCATGATGGGTGAGAAGTCTGGTTCCACTGACCCTACCTACCTCTTGGGCTGGGGCAGGGCACCATGGCAAGGCTGGGTGGATGATCCTGTGCCTGCGATATCAGGCATTGGAACAGGCTGCCCAGGGCAGGGCTGGAGTCGCCCTCCCTGGAAGTGTTCACACACTGTGTAGACGAGCCCCTCAGTGCCAGGGGTTAGTGGTGGCCTTGGCAGTGCTGGGAATGGTTGGACTCGATGATCTTAAAGGTCTTTTCCAACCTAGTTGATTCTGTGATTCTATGCTACGGCCAGGGCACTCACTGACTGAGCCTCAAACACTTGGAGCAGTCCCAGCCACAGGCAGAGCACAGCTCCTGTTTGCAGCTGGGACATGAGTGAGCAAACATTCCCTGCCCCAGCTCTGGTTCTCTGCCCCATCCTCACAGGGCTGCATGCCGAGAGGTGGCCCAGGCCTGCCAGTTCCTCCTCTCCAAGCAGATGGCAGATGGCGGGTGGGGAGAGGACTTTGAGTCATGCGAGCAGCGCACCTACGTGCAGAGCACTGAGTCACAGATCCACAACACGTGCTGGGCCCTGCTGGGGCTCATGGCTGTCAGGTAGGAGCAACCCTCACCTCTTTGGGCACCACACGGGTGCTCAGTGGGAAACGCAGGCTCAGGGATGTACAGCTGCATGGCTGGTGTGGGCATTGTGCCCAACCGTGTTTGTGATCTTGTGGTCACATCAAGGGACGGGTCTGCACAGTGCTCCACAGGACACTGGGGCTCATAATGCTGGACATGGGGGAGCCAGTGCAAAGCAAAGGTCTAAATCTCAACCACAGACCTTCTGCCTGGGAAAATGTTGCTGTATTCATGATATCTGGTGTGCTATGGTTGTGAGGGACTGACCCAAAGAACTCAGCATGCTTTGGGCAGGCTCGGGGCAGGCTCAGAGCAGCCTGGACGTGGTTGAGTTCCCCAAGTACATGAATGGTTGAGTTCTCCAAATACATGGGTTTGCAGGTAAGTGTTCACATCTCCCTCATGCTTTGCAGGTACCCTGACATTGATGTGCTGGAAAGGGGCATCAAACTTCTGATTGACAAGCAGCTGCCCAATGGGGACTGGCCTCAGGTACATCTTTCCTCTGGTCTTCCCAGGGTGTTCCCAGATGCCCTGGGCATTGTGCAGCCATTGCAAATGGTGTGCTTTCCCTTACTGAGAAGGGAGGCCCTCTGTGGCTTTTAGTGGGGGACTTCAGGAAGGCAATGAGCTCAATGACACATCTTGGACACACTATGCTCCTCTGTCAACCCCCTGGTCTCTGTCTCTCTTTTAGGAGAATATTGCTGGTGTGTTCAACAAGTCATGTGCCATCAGTTACACCGCATACTGCAACGTCTTCCCCATCTGGACATTAGGCCGTTTCTGCCGGCTGCATCCCAACAGCCCTCTTGCTGGGAAGCTGCGCTCCGGATCCTTGGATGGGACAGGGAAGACAGTGCCAGAGGCTTTGTCTGCCTAAGCCTGGGCCACTGCACATGCCATGGCCTCTGATTTGTCTCAGATACCAGCTGCTGCATGGGGCCACAGGGGTGTTTGCTGCATAGGGTATTTTGGTGCAGATCTTCACCATGTGGGCTGCTGCTCTGCCATGGAGGAGTGCTGCTGAGCCTCCTTCTGTTGAACCTCTTTTAAAAATACACTTTTAAAGGGTTTTCCCAGGTATATCCTCCCTCACAGGACAGGGAGTGCAGTGCCTTTTCCAGACCAGTTTGGTCATCTGAGGAGAGAAAGGTGCCAAGCTGTGTTCTACTACACATCTAGACAGACTCTCTCATGCTCATAAGAGAGATGCCCAGGGCATCCCCTTCGCCCATGGCAGGGGTTGGAACTGGATGATCTTAAGGCCCTTTCCAACCCAAACCATCTATGATTCTATGACTCTATGCTGGGTAGATCAAAGGTGCCTTTATCTTCCCCTCATGCTGTCCAGGTTGGCTGTGTGCAGCTAAAGTAGGGATTGGGGGCCTCCCCTATGCCCAGCATCATGGTGCAGTGCACTGCACAATCCCTACTGAGCTGGCTTCTGTGCTGTGGGTGCCAGCAACTGCTTTTGAAGTGCTCTCTGCTCTGGAGCCTGTGCTGGGAGGGGAAGGGCACCCATCCTCCCCCAGACAGATGGAAAAGAGGAGTGCTTCCCTCCGTTTTCTCATTGTTCGGTCCCCCAGCTGGTGGACTGCTGAAGTCACCACCATCATTCCCACTTCGAAAAAGGGGAACCTGAAGCAGAAAGCACTGAGGTGGTGAGTGTCAGGGCAAAGCCTCCAGCCAGCCCCAGCGCAGCAGGTGCCTCTGTTCAGGCTATGGTACAGTTGGGCTTTCACGCTTTGTTGTCAGGAGTTGGAAGTCACGTTGGCTGACAGGTTATTAAATTGCTAAAGGTGTTGCAAAGGGAACTTAACTGTGTGTTGGGCTCCTGTTTGTCCGCCCCAGTCAGTGTGTCCCAAGCGGAGGGGGGAGCGTGCACATCAGTATAGTGTAACCTGGCTTGGATCACCTCTCCCCAGTGGAATGGGCACCATCACCAACACACAAGCCATGCTTGGAGCCTGTGCCTGCATCACCCTCTTCCAATGCCCTTGGCCCTGAAAAATAGAATCAAGGAAGCAACAGGCTAAAAGGGAATGATCAATTCCCGCCAACTGCAGCTTATACTCATGCAATAAGCCCAGTGTGCTGGTGCCTGCACGCTCCTGGACTCGCTGCCCACCAGCAGCCCCAGTCCAGCTTTGCAAAGCTGTCCTCCAGCCAGCACGCCTCTGGTGCTGCATGGGGTGTCCTGGGTTCAGCTACAGCAGTCATTTTTTCCTTCTTAGTCGCTGGTGCAGGGCTGTGTTTTCAACTTTAGCCCAAGAACAATGCTGATAACACCGATGTTTTCAGTTGTTGCTCAGTAATGTTTACTCTGACCAAGGACTTTCCCAGTCTCATGCTCTGCCAGGGAGGAGGGGAAGCCGGGAGGAAGCAGAGACAGGACACCTGACCCAAACTGGCCAAAGGGCTATTCCATACCACAGCACGTCATGCCCAGTATAGAAACTGGGGGGAGTTACCCGGAAGGCCCAGATCGCTGCTCAGGTCGGGCTGGGTATCAGTCGGCGGATGGTGAGCGGTTGTGTCCTCCTCCTCTTGTTACTTCCATTATCATTATTATTGGTAGCAGTAGTGGTTTGTATTATACCTTAGTTACTGGAGTGCTGTTACCTCAACCCGTGGGAGTTACATTCCTCCGATTCTCCTCCCCATCCCTCCAGGAGCAGGAGGGAGGAAGAAGCAGGGGAGTGAGTGAGCGGCTGCGTGGTTCTGAGTTACCGGCTGCGGTTAAGCCATGACATGGGGTTATTCATGGAATCACCGTCCCTGGAAGTGTTCACACACTGTGTAGATGAGACCCTCAGTGACATGGGTTTGTGGTGGCCTTGGCAGTGCTGGGTAAAGGTTGGACTTGATGATCTTAAGGGCGTTTTCCAACCTGGTTGATTCTATTGCATTCTGTGGTTCCAACCTAGGGGCAACATATTGTATGTGCCTGGGTCTAACTTCATGGAAGAACCATAGAATCATAGACCTTGAAGGCCAAAACCCTTCTGTTCAACATGTTTCTCCAGCCTCTGAGAAGCAGCTCTGCTCTGTACCCCATCCTCGGCCTGCCCACACTGGTAGACTTGCTGAGCAAGGTTGTTATTAAGAGAAAGTTATTTAATCAAACTCAACTCAGGCTGTTTTGACAGCCCCGTTTGCCTTTTCCGAACTCTGGACTTCTTTACACGGTGTGTGAGACACTACCAGGCATTTCAAGTACCTCCATACTCTCCATTACAAGCAGGAAGAGGGGCCGGTTGCTGTTTTGATCTTGGTTTTACACCACGGTAGGGGAACTTGGCAATGTCACTACATGCCACTACAGCTGGGGGCCCCTTGGGGACGGGCACCACAGCATCTGGTGGCTCCCTACGAACGGCGACCCTCAGGGCACGGTGACCCCGGGACCGGGCGCTGAGACCCTCCTTTGCCGGGGGCCGGTCCTTCAGAGCCCCCCCCATTGCGGGACCTCCAACGGCTCAAGAACCACCTCAGCGCTGAGGCACCCTCCCCTGAGGAGCCCGCCCAGAGGCGCCATTTTCCCTCCGGGGGCGCTTTGCGCTGCGCAGCCGGAAGAGGCAGGAACTGGGTCGAGCGCTTCCGCGATGGCGGCGGCGCCGCTGCGAGTGTGAGTGCGGTGGGACGGGACGGGACGGAGCGG